GGGCAGCTGGGTTTTCCGGCCTCGACGCCCACTTCCGTGTCTCCCTCCCGCAGGCGCCAGACAGCCGAGGAGCGCGAGGCGGAGCGCCAGCAGGCCAACCGGCTGATGCTGCACCTCCAGCAGGAGGCCTTCCAGAAGAGTCTGGCCGGGCAGCCGCTGCGGCAGGACCCGCTCTGCCTGCACAACTCCTCGCTCTTCGCCTTGCAGAACCTGCAACCCTGGGGACGCCCACTTCCGTGTCTCCCTCCCGCAGGCGCCAGACAGCCGAGGAGCGCGAGGCGGAGCGCCAGCAGGCCAACCGGCTGATGCTGCACCTCCAGCAGGAGGCCTTCCAGAAGAGTCTGGCCGGGCAGCCGCTGCGGCAGGACCCGCTCTGCCTGCACAACTCCTCGCTCTTCGCCTTGCAGAACCTGCAACCCTGGGCCGAGGACCACAAGGTGACCTCCGTTTCGGGGGCGGCGGCCGTGGTGTGAGTCCCTCCCCCGACTGAAGCAGAAGGAGGAGGAGGAGGAGGAAGAGGGAGCCGCGAGGGCAGGGGAGGGGCCCTGCCCTGCCCTGCGCTGACTCCTACCGTGGAAAGCCGTCAGAGAGCGAAGGGATCGCCGACCGGTGCGTGGACTTCAGGGCCGATTCTCCCGGGGCCCGGCAGAAACCCTCCCCGAAAGCGAGCGGGACCCTCCTTTCCCCGCCTCTCCAACTCTTCCCTCAAGAGCTACCGCTAATTTATACTGACTGGTTCTCTCACTAATAAAGTGTAACATTTCTTCCCACCATGATCCAGGCCTCATCCCCCCGGCGCAAAGGCAAAATAAGACCCTCTCCGCCGCCTCCGCGAAACCAAAAGTTTAATGCCAACCCCCTTTCTCAGTACAGAGCCGCTGGAGACCCAGGAAGCGAGAAGCACAGTTTTCCTGGGAGATTGGTTTCTGGGCGGGAGGGGTGTGCGGGAGCTTCGGCCATCCACCTTACCTCTGGATGCGTCCCTCCAGCCTGGCTTCCACAGAGTAAATAAAGAGGTGGAGCGACCTGTCAAGGGAGGAGATGCCGGGGAAAGGCCAGGCTTAGTAGGATCTGTCCATGGTGCTGGAGGTTCGGCCAACCCAATTAGAAGATTGCCTCTACGGGCCGCCCCCCCCGCCCCGGGTGGGCTTCAGACGTCGGGCCCAAATAGGATAAAGGCCGCCAGAGAAGACTCCCAAGAAAAAGTACAGCGGCCCCCCCGCCCCCATCCTAGACGTCAAGCTCCCCTCTTCCCTCTTTTCCGGACCCGAAAAAGGCTCCTCCTTTCTCTAATTCCTCCCTCCACGGGAGGGGAGGGACTCGAGTTTTTGCCTCGCTCTCCCCTCCCCCGCCGCCAGGGGGTTGGGGACCCTGAGGCACAGAGGGGCGGGAGCGGGTTCCAGGCCCCGTCTTCGCCTCCCAGTTGCCGGGAAGGAATGCTCAGCCCTCTTCTTCCTGTTCCCCCCCGGACTCACATGTGGTCCAAAGCGCCCCCTTCCCTTTGGCCTGGAGGTGAGACGCATCCCAGTGTAAGGAATGAAAGCGGTGCCAAGTAGCGCCCTTCCCCCCAGATGCAAGCAAACCTATGAGGAGGGCAGTGATGGCTGCGCACCCCCGTGGAAATGTTCTCTGCACGCTGCGCAAAGGAGGGCGCTCCTGGGCAGTTCCTCTCCGTGCTGGAGATGGACAAGCAGGTGGTTGGGTTGGTGGGCGCTTCCCTGTCCTGTGGATGTTTCTGGGGAGTCTCGAGGAACCTCCCCCTCGGCACGTCCTTCTCCTAGCCTAGACCCCGCTTGACCGGGTGGGAAGGAAGAGGCCTGCCACATCAGCGCAGGGGGGGAGGGGGTGCGGCGGTTGGAGGGGAAGAGCTAGGGCTCAGGGTGAAGCCACGGCCGAAGACTCGACAAAGGCGCAAGAGCGACACCCAGCGATTCACCAGGCAAGTCCTTCATCATCCTCTGGTGGTCCCTTCAAAGGTCGCCCCCCTCCCACCCTACACAGCAGAGCTCTCCGACACTCGGGAGCGGATGAGCGAAGAGGGCTCTTCCACCCTTCCCACAACCTTGTCAGAGAACTGAACAGGTCTGGGGTTCCATGGGCCCTGGGTTGCAGAGAGACACTGAGAGACACTGAGACCCGGCGGTGAGGGAGGGGGGGGCCCCGCAAGGCTCCACGTCTCCGCCCTCCGTCCCTCTCTCCCGCCCGCGCTCTCTTTCTTTGCTTCTCGATTCCCTGGATCGACAATTTCCCCTCTTTCTCCTGCCGCCGCGGCTGCCGCTGCTGCAGCGCGCCCTGATTGGTTGCCCGGGTTGCAGATCCCCGATATAAAGGCGGCTGCGATGCCGCAGTTGGCGCAGAGCAGATGTCCATGATCGCGGTCGGAGGGAGGGGACGGGCGGGAGGTCGTGCTCGTGGGGCGGCCTAGCGCAGCCTCTCCCGGCACCAGCATGGACTCCGAAGCGTTTGGCTGGCGGAGGCCGTGGGAGGAGTACCGCGGCGGCGGCGGGCGCCCGTCCCGGGTCAGCTTCTCCCCGGGGCCCTCGGGGCTCCGGCGCTCTATGCGCCTCCGCGG